ATATCATGTAAGTTTTGTTATGTGTCAGCCTCCCTTCTGACTCCTGAGGGCTTGTTGCACCCAGAAAAGATTAATTGTGATGTGTCTGCCTTTAACTTCTGCCTGTGCCCAGCATTTTGGATTGTGGCTGGGGCCACTTATTTTTTGGTTTTAGCTCTGTATGGACACCTAAAAACTCCAAAGAAACAAAAAGAACAAAAAAATCCACCCCTCACAAACAAACAAAATTTCTCAAATTTCATTTAAGATTATATTCTCTGGTACAGTGAATGGAAGCAGTAAGAGAAACTTAGAGGAGAAAATAATCTGTAATCTCACAATGTGTGAACATAACTTCAAGAAGCATTTTCCCTTAAGAACATTTTTTTAGACTGCCTTAGTTCTGTGTACGTTCCTGTTTTATCCTTCAACAAATGCTATTGCAATTTGAAGTTTAAATGTGTATCTCATTCTTCTGGAAACATGCCATTTCAGAGACTGGGTGAGAAGGTTTACTTTTTGACTAATAGTACAATGTGTTGCCAAAGCCTTCTGAAAAGTGTTCAACAGCTTAGCTTGTTTTTAAGGTAAGAGTGTAATAAAGATACTGGGTGAAAATTTGATGTTGTCTTCATGCCTGAAGCAGGAGACTTCACCAGCACAAGAGCAGATTGGTAATGTGGACAAGACAATGATGACACCTCTGGAAGGCATGCTGAGGGTGAGCACCATTCTGTCATCCTGTAATATAGCTAAGACAAATTTTTTTTTCTTTGTTTCACCACCCCCCTCAGAGGGAAGGGGAACTAGTAGACATAATCACAGGTCATCAATAAAACAAGTTTTATTTTGTTTCAAGAACTAGGAAATTAAAAACCAGTGTTGTCAGCAACACCTCATACTACATACTCTATTCTTCACTCTATGATCAAAAATTATTTCAATTATTTAAAAGAAAAATGAGATCAGGCATGGTCTACCCTTGGCAGAAAAATAGTTTCAGGTTTGAATTATCTTTTACAATTTTCTGATGAACCACAAAAAACTCAATTAAAAAAACAACTAAACAACAGAGAAAAATAGAAATTAAGATTCTACAACTTACATTGAATATGGTTTAACTTAGCATCAAGATTTTGTGGTTCTTTCTTCCAGCTCAGTTGCTAGCTGGTGGTTTTCTGTGGCAATCACAGACACTTTGCATTTTGACTTTCTAGATTCAAGTGTGTCCCATCCCTCCCTCATTAGCAAATACTTAGACATCAGTTATCCCTTTGCAAATGTCTTCTTGAAAGATATGCTGTGTAGAAGAACCAATTAGTACTTGCCAAGAACTTTAAAATGGAAGGGTGGTCAACCCAAAAATCATACTGAAGAAAATTTATTTCTTCCTTCCCCACCCTGCAGCTTCCTATTCACAAGTTCAAAAATCTCTATTCTAAAAGAAGTAATTCCATGATGAACTACAGATATCCCCCTATCCTAGACCCTTTGTATTAATTTAGCTGTTGTGGCAGTGGTAAGTAATTTGGCCTGCTGAGAAGCCAGGGATGCTTCTGAACAGGCCAGGAATCATTCAGGTACTCAATGTAGACTGTGTGTCTGAGAGCAAAATGTTTGCTGTAAAAGATGGTTTGTCTTTGTCTCAAACATTTGGTAGAGAAAGAAATATGATTTTGTGTAGGAAAATCTCTAACACATCAAGGATCAGCTTTTGATCTTGTGCACAAATTGGGTTTTCCCAACACTATCCCATATTTGGAGTGATTTTTGCATTGAAGGAGAAAGTTTACCCAAATGTCATCATTTTTGCTCTCGATGTAATGCCCATCTTCACTATGGGGCTCAAGTCTAGCCAGCCCAACAGCTAAAACAGAAGTGCCTACCCAGCAGTAGAGCTGACATTATAGCTAAACCTGGTGAAGCCACCCTGAGTTGTCAGTGCTAGAAACCTCAGGGAGAAAGATGACAGGCAGGGTAACACACAAACTTAGGAAGATTCGTGCTTGCCCAGCAAACAAAGGAGAATGCTGATAAATACAGATAACTATAAAAGCAATGCTGTTTTGTAGCTTATGCCTTCTGATGCTCCCCAGACTATCAGCATTGCTCCTGCAATATACACAAGCATGTGTGCTATTCCAGTTGAACAAAATGCTAAATGAAGTAGAATCCCCTGACATCCACAGAGCAGGCAGCCAGGGTGAACAGACTTCAGGAAGTGGCCAACTCGCTTGGCTCCCCAAGCAGCAGCTGAATTGCTGGGAATTAAATGGACCATTAGTCTTACTCAATGGGGCATTTCTCATGAGGGCTTGATTTTGTTCACAGCAATATTCTTCAGAGGCGCTCAAGGGTTTGCAGTGCTCTGCTACAACCGGGTATTAGTGCCTGAGAAACTGTGAGAGGGCTGTGCACACAAGTCCTATTTTCTGCAAAGGCAGTCTTATGAAATATGGAAAGGAGCATGACACCAGTCTGAGGCAGTACTGCTAACATGCCCAAATGATAAATTTTTTTAACTATTTAGTAAGCCACTCTGAAAAACTGGGAGGTGGTTACAGGGCAGGAAACTGTAGCCAAGCAATGCCTTGTTTTGAGGAGAAAAGGGATATGAGTGATTCCTCCTGATTCTTCCCTGTTAACATGCCAGTCATTTTGGCAGTTTTGTTTCACAGTGAAGTACAAACTTTTTGCAAGAGACTAAGATATTCCTATCAGAGGTATCAGAAGTCAAGTAACACCAGCATCTCAATCAGTCCCTGTAATTCATTCATCAGACCATGAATTAGGGCAGAGTGGGCAGATCCTCCTCAGTCCTGTTGGCTGTGCTATGCAGGTGGAAAACTCCAGCAAAAAGGTGAGGTGGGACAGGTGAGAATGGTAGAACTTTGTAAATTATGCTATATTTTGGTCAGGGCTCCAGCAATGTGCACAGTGAATACTGATTTAATTAGTGGATCCACTCTAAACCATGGTCATGTCCCTATACAAAGTCTGCACTCCAGCAGGGAAGGTAGCGTGTGTTACTGCAGAAATGAAAGACTTGGAGGAACTGGAGAGGAAGGCCTCCTGTACCCACTATACCCACTAACAAACTCCTCCCCATCAAATGATACCAGACAGGAGTACCTGAACATGCTACTAGGGCTAATTAATAGAGAGGACTTCGGGCTGAAGGTTACATAACAAATGTAGTTTACACCAACACAGTTGTTGAAGAGATGTAACCTACTATGCCTTGTGTACACCAAGTCAGAATTCAACTTTATTTTTCATTTATGCTTGAGAGGACTTCACACAAGTGAGTTATTGGCGGGGATCTGAGTGGAGTTCACAAGTTATGCTAAGGACTGAGTGAAGGTGGGAGTGGTCAACACCGATGGAACAATACTCAGAGTTGAGAAGATTTTCCCATATTATATGCCTCTCATAGGTTACCATAGAGAAAGAGGATAAAGAGGGAATGGAAGAAAAGACAATAAATAGTGGAAAATGGAAATTAAGCCAGTTGGCAGAGCTCTGACAACCTTTTGCACAGATGGGAGATTCTGTTGCCACCGACTCGATGAAGAACTGTTAAAAGCAGCAATGCTGCAGATCGGTAAGCACCTGTGGGCCTTGACGAGACCCTGAGGAAGGACAGCTGTAAATTCTTAGGTTGTGCTCTGTCCCTCTTCCCGGCCATCTTCAGCCTCAGCTACCAGCCTGGATGGTGGCACACTGCCTACAACAGCGGCACCTGGGCCGGGGCAGCCTTTAACAGCTGCTTGTGAGGGACAGCACCAGCGCTCACAACGCCGAGCAGGGCTCAGAACCCCTTCCTTGTGGGCCCAGAAGAGCCATCTCTGCCTTGCAGTGATTACTTGTGGTTTTTAATTGCCTTGGAGCACCCTCCCGGGGACTGAGGTGAGGCATGTTCATTTTTGCAGCACCTGGCATGGTTGTGACCCTCAGCATGGACAGCAGGGCCTGAGCCACCTTCTCTGTGAGGGCTGCCAGCCCTTCTCCCAGCACCCTGCCCTGGCATGGCCACCACAGCCCAGCCCTGGTCAGCAGCAGCACAATGTGAGCTGGGATGTGCCCAGGTGGCCAAGAAGGCTGATGGCACCTTGGCCTGTATCAGCAGTAGTGTGGCCAGCAGGACCAGGGTGTTTATCTTCTCCCTCCGCTTGGCACTGGTGAGGCTGCGTCTTGAATTCTGTGCTCAGTTCTGGGCCTCTCACTTAAGGGACAACATTGAGGGGCTGGACCTCAATGTCGTCCAGAGAAGGGGAACAAAGCTGGGGAAGGGTCTGGAGCAGGAGTCTGATGAGGAGCAGCCGAGGGAGCTGGGGGTGTTGAGCCTGGAGAAAAGGAGTCTCAGGTTTTTGCTCTCTACCACCACCTGAAAGAAGGCTGCAGCCAAGTGGGGACTGGCCTCTTCTGCCAGGCAACCAGTGACAGGGCAGGAGGACAGGGGAGGTTGAGGTTGGCCATCAGGGTGAATTTCTTCACATAAAAGGTGATTAGACACTGGAATGGGCAGCCCAGATTGGAATAATCATCCGTGCAGGTGTTTAAGGAGGTGACAGTGCCCTGGTCTAGCTGACACGGTGGTGCTCGGTCATTGACTGGACTCTATGGTCTCACAGATCTTTTCCAAACCAAATGATTCCGTTTTCCCGTCCTGCGCGCGACCACGGCACGCCCCGCCGCCGCCTGCCGCGCGCGCCCCGTGACATCACCTGCCGGCGGGGACAGCGCTCCGGAGAGAGGCGAAGCCACTTCCGCCTCGATAGGGCCCGACTGCCCCGCTTCGCGCAGCCACTTCCGCCTCGGTAGATGTCATGGCGGCGGGGGCGGGGCGACCCACGTGACGCCTCCGGTCCCGGCGCGGTCTCGCGGCAGCTCTCGCGGTGCCTCGCGACCCCCCCGCCCGCGTCCCCCGCTCGCCGGCCGCTCGCGCAGCGCTCGACTCGCGCTATATAAAGGGGCGAGGCGGCAGCGCGGCGGCTGCAGCCCCGGGGCCGCGAGCGAGCCCGGCACAGGCCGCGGGGCCGCCCGTCAGCCGGGGCGGAACGCGCGGGCGCTGGGGGGACGCAGCCGGGCAGGTTTATTGTTTTAGGGGCGACTCCCCCCCCGCGGTTGGGGGCGTCCCGGGGGGCTCGGGACATGGCGAGCTCGACTAACACAAACCCCGTGGTAAGGACCGGGTCGGGGGGCGAGGGGGGCCCCGGGGGCAGCGCGGGCGGAGGTGGCCGGCGGGGCCCGCCGCCCCCTCCCCCGCACTCCCTTCCCTCCCGCCGCCCGCCTCGGGCGGTCCCGGCCCCCCGGCGGGCAGGGGCGGCGGGGGGCGCGGGGCAGCCTCGCCCCCGCGGCGGCAGCCAACTTGTGGCGCCCGGCGGCGGGGAGAGAGGCGGCGGGAGCGGAGCGGTGGGGGCGCGGGGCGGCGGCCCGGGGGCGGCCCCGCGGGGAGGCCGGGGGTCCGGCGGGGAAGGGAAGGAAGGGCCGTCGGGCGGGGGGCGCCGCCGCCGCCGGCGGGAGGCGCCCGGGGAAGGGGCGAGAGCTGGAGGAGCGCGGGCGCTAACGCCCGCCCCGAGACGAGGGGAAGGGGCGCCCGAGCCAGGTTTCGGTTTTGCGGTGTCGGGGAAGCCCGCCTGGGCTCCGCTGGAGCCATTTTATGTTGCTTTGTAAGAAGGAGACGATGGTTGAAAAGCACTTATCCCACTCCGGCCGGATCGGCTGAGCCGAGTGAAAGCCTTCAACTCTGGCGAGCGAGGCAGTATTTATTTTAAAAACAGAGAACGAAAAGAAAAAAAAAGAAAAAAAAAACAAAAAAAAAAATCCCCAAACCTCTCCCCCGTTCCCTTCTCGTGCTTTCTGCACCTTGGCGGGTGGCTCGCTGCTGCACTTGTACTCACAGAGGTTTGCAACAAGCAGTCACACAGACCTGCGCTGCCACCGAGCCCCCCCGGCCGCCGCTCCGCTCCCCGGCGCGCCCCCGGCCGCGACCCCCGCCCCGAAGCGCTGGAGGAGACAAACCCGGCGTCCCGGCGGCGGGCTCGGCCCCCTTGTTTGTGGCTCTCAGATCCATCATGGCTTCCCCCTGCCTTTCTGCCTCCCTGCTCCTTGTGTTCCTCCTCCCTGTGGCTGCCCTGTTTATATAGCGCTATTGCCGCTCTCTAATATAGACTCTGCTAGGATGGGAAGGTGCTTTCCAGCCCCACGTCACCGCCTCTCCATTTAAACACCACATCAGCCTTTAAATAGGGAGCGAGCCGCGGAGCGCGGGCTGGGAGGTGCATGCGTCCGCGGCGGAGGCTGGGAGGCAGGCGGGCGGCTGGTCCTGCATCCCGGCCGGCCGTGCCCGCCGCTCGCTCTCCCCGCCGGGCTGCGGAGCGGCCGTGCTCTGCGGGTGCGAGGCTGTCTCCTAGCCCGTGCAAATGGGCTTTCTTCTGCTTCTACGCATTGCACAAAGACAGTTTTCATCTGCTCCTGTGTTTGAATCTGTTCTACCCTTTTTACCTTTTTTAATTTTTTTTTTTTATAATTTATTTTGCTTGGTTGGTTTTGGGTTTTGCTGTGGGATTTTTTGTTTGCTCAGGGTTTGGGGTTTTTTGTCCTTGGCGTACAGCTCGCACACGTTCCTGTGCTCCTGTGAAGTCTTCAAAGTAGCTTTTCTGCTGCGTGGGGAAAGCAGTGTTTAAACGGTTCTTAGCCAGTGTATCAAGGAGAGTTGTGGTATTTATTTTATGGCGCATTGCCAAGGTCTGACTACAGCTGTCTCCCCAAAAGTGAAGTTAATATTCAAGTTTTATTCGTGGGTCATGGGCTGCAGATGCTGCTCAATGATTTGTGTGTTTCTGGGGCCTAAAGTGTACAAATATTTTATTGCATTCCAGGCAGAAGCAGTGGTTTTGGCATATTCACTACTTAGTTTCATTACAGTGTTTGGTATACTACAAAATATACAATAGAAAACGCAAAGTGTCTTAGTTTTCTTTTCCTGATCTGAAAGGTTAGAGACATGCTTGTGAGTTAGGTTTATGCAATTGCAAGGAAACATCTTTGATTTGATATTTTGTCAGCTTTTGTATCAGAAAACTAGGAAAGTAGTCAGCTGTTACACGGAGGGCAGTTACTCAGGAGGATGCATATTGAATGTGTGTGATTTGAATCTTAGTTGTCCTTCTGTTTATGAACTTACCGATCTGTGGTTTTATTGTAAGAAAAGGTTTTATTTCTGTGTACTAAATTAGAGGTTTTTCTTCTCTTTCTTGACTGAGGTAGTACTGAATTGCAAAAAAATATATATGTTGAATAATCTCCAGAGAACTTGTAAATATTTCTGACTCAACAATTTATTAAGACTTCTTTTCTTTCGCTGTAATTCTGTACTGGAAGTTCTTTTGAAAGGTGTCAATGTTTGGAATAGTGAAAGCCAAGCTTAAAATGAGCCTGCTTCAGATAGGTATGCTTTAGGTTAATTTTCAATTAGGTAGTAAAATCGTACAATTTTATCAAGTTGGAGCTCATTCAGTAGTAGGAAATATATTACTTAGCCAAGGGTTGCCAGAGATGAGTAGGAACGTTTTTAAATGCTGCAACCATGTGACTTTAGGAGCTGGACTAGGAGCCTAATGTGTCAATGGCATCACATCAGCATCTGATCAAATCTGAATTGCTAGGAATCTGTTCTCTGTAATAAAGGACAAATAATAGATGTTAACAGCTATATATAGTATAAGATTTTATGGGTGATACAGGTAATACATTTGTAAAAGTCCAGAACAACATAAAAACTCAAATCTTAATGCTTACAGTGTAGATTATATATGTTACTTTTTTATGCACATCTTTGGTGTAATTGTGACTAGAATTGAACACTTGTGTAAGTAGAACACTTTACAGTGTTCTCTGCTGGCTGCCTTTGGCCAGCTTACAGTGGCAACTGCACAGCTGGGAGAAAGTTTAGCATGTTTCAGAGAGAGCTGCAGGGGCAACAGGAATGAACCATTGTCAAATGTACAGAGCATCCTGTGGTCTGTCTCTCCATAACATCTTGGTTATTGGAAATCCACATTGCTGAAATCCCAAGTGTTGTGATAATAATTACAGAGGACTGCAGTTTTTGTAGCCTTGAAGCGGAAGGAATGTAGGAAGTGTAAGCCCCCAAAGGCATGTGGCATTTCTTAAAATAGCTTGCTGGTTGCTCCTGGATTTGGAGTTGCATGTAGCAGTGTCACCATACTCAAGAGTTTTCTTTTCAAGATGCACAAGAGAAAGTAAAATATAATCATTCCCTTATGTTCCTGGAGGGGGAAATAATAAGATTCCAGATTTCTTCTATGTGTTTGTGGTTGTATCTAATAAATCAGGAATTTTAGTTGTTGTCTTTAATCTGTAGTAAGTGCTCGGAATAGTGTTTATGGAAGAGTGATTTGAGTATTTTGCTCTTAAAAGAGCTTGACATTTACAGCAATGTACTCTTTATGAGGGAGGCACTTTAATATAAACCAGATGAAAGCACAATTATTTTAATAGCAATCTTTAAAGTTTCCATTTGTTCACATTGCTTTCTCTGACTGAATGCAGAAACTTACTGGAAAGCACACCTACTATGCCATCTTTAGACTTACTCAGTAATTGTATTGCCATGTTTGTTTTTTGAGTAAGCAGTGTATGCAAATAGTTTTGTCATTCAACTTCAGACTCTTAGATGGCTTATATAAACAGCTTCAGCATCGTATAAATATTGCTTAAACCTAACACTTAGTGTATGTTAAAAGCAGTACAGTGTGCTTTCTTTTAAAGTCTGGAACTTAAGACTGTTTTGTAATTTCACTGGATATGCCTCTTTGAGGTAGGAAAAGAGCATTCTGTGATTCTCTGCAGAATTCCACTCTGAATGTCTCTTGAAGGCATTGCTGCCCCCAGTATGGGAGATGTTCCACCTAGGCTGGATGTTCAGTAGGAGTGTACAAAAGAGAATTTCAAGTGAAGAGGGTATTTCTCAGTATTATGTAAATGTGTACAGGTAAAATCACACAGACACTGTTTCATTATAAGCATGCACATGTTTTGTTTTCTTTTTTCTTCCTCCTAATCACAGAGCCATGAGTGTATCTTGTCTATTACTGTGTGATTAGAACCAGTGTGAAAATTCTGACCCATTTTGAGATCCAGTGCACTGTGAGGCTCCTGCAGAAGGACAGGTGTATGTACAGACTGCTGCTGGGCTGGGTAACCCACATGTCACTCAGCTCACTCCAGCCCTGCAGGACTGTCCCCTTTGGGGCACTCACCTGCCAGCTTGGGCTGTTGGAAGTAGTGCAGAAGGATCCTGTGTCAGCAATGGCAGAGTGAACATCTCTGCTCTTAACCTGCCTTTCTGAGCTCTTGCTAAGCTAATGCTGGACACTAGACACCAATAACTGCTTGAATTTGTTTTTTTCTCTTATTTCTCTAGGGAAAAAAGGAAATTCTCATGCAGACAGTTGGGCTGTGGAGTCAGTTTGTTGTACCTGAATGTTGGTGTCTTTCTTCTAGGGCTTTATAGACTCAGAAGGCATTGTGAATAAACCTTACAATAATACCTGACTGGACATAGGAGGAAGTAGTTACTGGTGGAAATTTCTAGGGCCTGTTTGTGTAAAATCTGTTTTATTAGAAAAGTAAACCTAATAGGTAATTTAGGGGAGATGAGGATTAAAGGAGAAAACGCACCCTCCATCCTGCAGGAATTTTGATTGTAATTTTAGGCATACAGGTAGTTCTCTTGACTTAAAGTAACTCACATGCTTGAGGTTAAGCATATTTATTTGCAGAATGTGGTTTGGCATTAAGGAACAGATGCTTTTAAATGTAATAAGGAACAATATATGGAATAGGTTAAGTAGTGTTTCCGTGCTAGTTGAATTGTATAAGCTTCATGCAATTTGTTTAATTATAGAAATAATAGGACTTAATGTTATTAAGTAGAATGTCTTTTTGCATGTTATGAATTAAGTAGAAAAATAATCCTGTTAAAGGTATTGGCTTGGTATTTCTGAGTTATTACACAGATTTAAAATACTAGCACTCAAGAGAAGTGTGGCTTTGAAAGTCTCTTTCAATGTTTATAAACTCAGTTAATGCAGTATTTCAAACCTGGATCAGAGAGTATGTGCTATGGTATGTTTTGGTTTTTTTGAAGAAATTAAGTTGTGGATATAGCTGCTGTAAATGTAGTTGTCAAGGATGGCAACTTCCTCTATTACTTGAAGCCAGAAAATTTTAGTAGATTTTTTTTTTTGAAAACCAGTAATAAAAGGATGAATGATAACATTTCAGCTACTTGATTTGCAGCAGCCTGTTTTAAAGCTAAAATGTGATAAGTACATCGAGTGGTATGTTGGGTTTTGTTGAGATGTTTTTGGTTTATTTTTGTTTTTACTTCTTTTTTTGGGGGGGTGGGGGGGAAGGGGCTGGGGCAGGGGTTGTAACAAAAAAAAATAACTTGAGCATGCCCCAGTGCAGAGCCTTTTTAAACAGTAAGGGCATAACGCACTAGGCAGCCATCAGACTCTTATTTCTGGGTTCCAGATATGTTCTTTTATTCCCTTGTAAACTTTATGCATTTTCTCAAGTTTTATTTTCCCTTTTTCCCCCTCTACATCTAAAAGTAAAGATACTCAGTTTCTTTTTTGTGCTTATTGACCACTCAGATTTTCCCTGGATTAGTAAATCATGGGCTACTAGTCTACCTACATTTTTCCATAATTTAGGCATAACAATTCTATAACATGTGAAATACAATTTTTAGCATGTCTGCAACAAATTCAGCACTTCTGGAATACATGAAGAAAATGTCTGTGTATAAAATAAATGCTTCAGTGCATTAAGTACATTTGTGTAGTTCTTGCACCTCTGGGCTATCTGCTTGTGTTTGGTGCATTGGAGGCTCAGCCTTCCTGGAGTACAAACCCACTGCACTGGTACAGGATGGTTGTTTTCCATATATACAACATATCTGATGTGTGTGGCACCAGTCGGGATTTATTGCTTAAGGGAGCTGGGCACTGAGGCTGAGGAGAATGACAGTTTAGAGAGAGTTGTGGCTACTTTCTTTCTCAGTTTAAAATTGGTGTGCTCACAGGCCAAGTAACAACCTTGGGCAGTGAAGTATATGTGGTTTGCAGGCTGCAAGATTATCAACCATAATTTACAGCTTGTAGGGCTGCCTTGCAGTTAGATAGCACAGATATTTAAGCCTAGCCAAAATCCCATTGGAGTTCATACATACAGTGAAAGGTCTCAGCTGTACTATTTAAAAGGTACAGCATGTGCATAGTGCAGTTCCCATGTGGTTTTATGAATTAAGTGTTGTGTTTTAATTGATAATGTTAAATGTTGGCATTCTCTATTTTAAATTGTACCTTCATTTTGAAGTTCACAAAATGGTTGATGTTGGAAGGGACCTCTAGAGGTCTTTTTGCAACCCCCTTGCATGAGCAGGGCCAGCTAGAGCCCAAGATGATGTCTAGATGGCTTTTGAATGTCTGCAGGAATGGAGGCTCCAGAACTTCTTTTGGCAACCTAAAATGAACTGACAGTTTACTTTTTTTCATAGTTTAGGTGTGAAAGCAGTATAATAATAACAGCATATGTTTGATATTTCCCCATGAAAAGTGCAGAATGTAAAAGCATGAGTAGTGGTTGAAAACAGAAGTCTGTCTGACCTAGTATCTTAAGGAGCTTCTGAAAACAAGTATGTAAGGAAGAACAGGATATTCACAGGAATCCTTCCCATTTTTTGAGCCTTCAGTGGTTTTCAGCTCAAGATCATTCTAAGCCATACTTGGTGCAAGTACTAACAAGTTTCTTTTCCTGTCTTTAATATACTTTCAAACTTCAAATGTTCTTTAATGCATTTTGCACTCATCTCAGCATTTTTGCGTGTTTAGCATCTGCATTTTCAAGCAGAAAACAAATTAACTGAATGGAAAACAATCTCCTTGTCTCTTTTAAATTATACTCTTCATGAGTACTCTACTCTCGTGCTGTAGTTGTCACAGAATATCATGAGCAGTCCTTTCCCATTTCACCTTGTTTGAACTGCTCTTCCTGATTTATACCTTCCTGGATATTTCAGTCACTTGGAAACATGTGGTGTATTCTGAAATGCAGTTTTTTGTGGGGGGAAATCTTATCTTAATATTAAAGTGACAGATTCTTTTCAAAACAGTGCTGACTAGTTGCTGGTTTTTTTAAAGCCTAAATTGTACAGGTCCGTAATTGAAGATGTCATTAATGATGTCAGAGAAGTTTTTCTGGATGAAGGAGTGGATGAACAAGTTCTCATGGAACTCAAAACAGTAAGTTGAACTTAAAAGTTTTTGTTAATAGACCAATACAGCAGTTAGTTTCCAAATCTGACTACTGTTGTTCACAGTAGAAGTACTAATTTTTAGTTAATTAAACACTGCAATCTGCATATCTGTATCCCCGTATAATTTGAATTGCACTGTTGTATAGGTAGATCTGCTCACCCTGTTATTTTCCCTAATCTGACAGCAGTCATCAGAATGCAGTGTTACTTTGATCCCCAAAACATTGCATTTTTTAAAAAGGGAAAAATGTTTGTTTTAGAGACACATAGTTCTTTGTTTCTCTGCAGGAAAAATAAAATGCCTGCCCTGTTTGATGTTGTCTTGATGTTTTTGTCTTTCTGAAGAAGAGTTGCATTGTTAGATACATGGTCAGATTTTTGCATGTATGGTTTGTAGTTTCAAAGGTGTTGTCATTTGGGAGGTTGCTATGTAATAAATCCCACTGTATGCATCATGCTTGCCTGAAGCTCTGATTCAGAATTGTTTTACATGGAGTGGGTTTGAATCAAAGGTCCATAATAAAGGCAGGGTGTTAACCTGAGTTCTAGTGGGTCTTCTGTAGCTTTCTTCAAATTCTTCAGGAGTAAAAAATGCCCTTCATAGGTGAAGGGAAAAAATGGCAAAACAAAACAGCGAAAAGAAAGGAAACTGGGAAAGCAGATGACTTTTTGTATCATGTTCTTCAGTGAGCATGGTATCCCACATTGACAATATTTTTTAAGTATTAAAAAATGGATGGAGTGGGAAACAAATTTTGAATTTGTCTAGACACAAACAGGTGAAGACTTTTTCCATGACACCATGACCTGTCTTGGTGGAAACACAGAGCTATAAAAAAAGAGCTGTGGTATTTGTGTCACAGATATGTTCTGCAAGTGATGTCAGAAAAAATTAATGAGGAAAGAGACAAGAAGGAAAATGAAGTATTGAAAAGGAGCCCTAAGCAGATTTTGAAATCATGAATCCTGAGTGCCTGTAGTCTTCTAGACTCTAATGTATTACAGAATACTCTTTGTTGCTCTTTTTACAAGAGCTGCTTTTTTGCATCTGTGTCTGTCCTTTGATGACATGTCAGCTGACATAAAGAACTGTAGAGCTGGAGAAACTGAATTGATATTGATATTGTGGTAGAAACTGTATAAATGATGGTAGAGAGGCATTATCTTAGGTATGCTGGTAGCTTCTGTTGTAGGAGGCAGTAGTCTTTTAGCAAATGTTATTGAGGAGGTCCAAGGAAAAATGGCTTGAGGAAAGCTGTAATAAAGAATTATTTTTGTGATTAAAGAGGTAAGAAAGAAGGAATATAGGAAAATGGAAAACTTAAAGTCTTACTTAAAGTTACCAGTTTATCTCAATTCATGCTTCTGTTAGGGTTGTGGTGAATCTTCCACACTTGGAAGAAAGAAAGAATGTTGAAGTTTAATCTTGGACTGGAGAGAGATATTTAATTCCTTTTCTTGACTCTGTGAAGTTATCTTTTATCTGTATCTGCCTGAAGGTTTTCTGGGCTTTTTGCACAAAATAAACAGTGAAACTCAGTTTTGGAGTGCTGTCATTAAATTGTTACAAATCCTGTAGAGCAAAAGTTATACACAGATCTTTTTGTTTCCTTTTCCAAACTAGCTGTGGGAGAACAAGCTGATGCAGTCTAAGGCCGTAGATGGCTTCCATTCAGAAGAGCAGCAGCTTTTATTGCAGGTGCAACAACAGCAACAGCAGCAGCAGCAACAGCAGCATCATCATCACCACCATCACACACCTCAGCCGCAGCAGACTGTGCAGCAGCAGTCTCAGCCACAGCAAGTCCTTATTCCAGCATCTCAGCAAGGTCAGACTTCATCTCTAAACACTCTGAAGTTAGTCCAGCTCCTTAGCATGTTCTAAATCTAGGGCTGGATGCTTCTCTGGTGGTTAACTTCCTGTCTTTCTACTTGGCCTCTATTCAATGGCTCAGGAAAGCTGGGGGAAATGTGTTTTGGTATTTAAATCATATTCTTTAGAAGATTTTGAAAAAGCTGGATTCTTCTCTTGGTCATCTGTAACATAACATGCTTTCAGAATGCACAGTGTTCAAAACTCCATTAGCAGCTCTAAGTTCAAGCCAATATAAGCAATTGAGAGTTTAGTCATGAGGCGGTAATGTCATTAGGAGCAAATTATTTCAAAAAACCATTACTGGTTGGCATCACCCAATGCTAGGACATGAAAAATACTTCTATAATAGTCTGAGTATATGTAGATTTTTTTTTGGTCTTAAAAGATTGCACATTGTGTACATGTGGATGTACAGGGTGTATTTTAGCTAGGCGTAACTGTATTGTTTCTTGTAATAACTGTCTTATGTGTTCATTAATAATTTAATGAAAAATTTTTTCAGCTGTTATAATTTCAGTTGAAAACTGAAATAAATACTACTGGATTTTACTGCATATATGCTGAGTAAGCATATCTGCCACCTATGAAAGGCTTGATTGAGTTTTCAGTGTATTAAATTTGTGACATAAAATACTTATCTGTGGTAGTCACAGACTTCAGTCTTCTTGTCAGATGTCATGGATCAGAAAACCTATGTTATCATAGGCACGAAAGATAGATACTATTTGATATCCTTCACTGTCTCCCCCCAAAACCAGCCAAAACCCAACCACCACGTGTTCAACACAGTATAGAGCTGATGTGATCAGTTTTTCCATGATGTTGTTCTCGTTGGTTTTTTTGTGGTTGGTTTGTGACACTTTTCTCACAGGGAGGGAAACATGGGTGTTGGTTTGTTGTTTTCTTCTTAGAGTACTTTTTATTTTGGCTAGACATAAATAGTTTTGTGCGTTGGGATAAAGTTAATTTTGAGACGAAAGTCTTTCAATAGACACGGCGGCTGCCTCAGAGGCTCGGGGCCCCCGCGGGGGCGGCCGCTCACGGCGCCCTCTGGCGGCCCCTGGGCGGAGCGGCCGCGACTCCGCTGGCCCGCGGTGCCTGCGCGGGAACATGGCGGGGTTCCTGTGCTCCCGGGGCAGCCGCATCCTCCCCTGCTAACGCGCTGCAGCCTGATTTACTGTTGCCCACTGTTGCGCCTTACAACTAAATAACAGCACGGAGACTAAATGAAATGAGGTTATCAAAGCACTTCCATGACAGAGATGCAGCTTTCTGAATTACTTTACTTCCTTGTTCCATGGTGGAGATGGTATAGTAGCTCTTCACATGACCTGGTGCAGTCCCAGGCAGGGATCAGGATGATCAATATGGTGATTCCTGCTGTCCTTTCTGTGGCCCTGCCACAGGTTCATGAGATTTCCTTAATCTTTTGCCCTCCTTCATTTCCCTGAAAATTGGAGGTGCCCTCAGATCTCTCTACAGGTTTTGAGGCTTCTTACCCTAGAATCTTTCCTAGAAACTCTTATTCCTAATATTCTTAAGTGTCATTTGTTTAAAGGATTGGGTAGAGAACAGTTTGTCAATGACAAATTAATTCAAATTGCTGTCATTTTGAAGTTTACTGTCACTGATAATAGCAGTGGCAACCTGCTTGTTCCATAAACTTGGCCATATGCACTTCCAGATGATCAACAGGTTGTTGGTATAGTTTAGCTAGCCTTTCCTTTAGTGCACCAAAGCTGCTTTGTTGTGTGGGAGAGGTGGTTTATCACATTTCAGCTGCTTCTGCTGCATTCAGAAGACAGTGAAGATCATGAACTTAAAGCTATGCTGACTGTGCATAGCTCAGGCTAACTGCAGCATCCTGCTACTCTTCATCTTGGAATAATTCTTGCTTAAGTCTGTTTTAAGAGTTAGCTTTTTGTTTTTGTAGAACTCTGGTATTGAACATCGTAAATTTTATCAACATCTCAGTAATACCTCTAATTTCAGAAATACATTTTTAATCTTGCTTTTACCTAGATACAGAATAGGTAACTGAAGCCCTTGAAGTAAGATCTGTAAAGGCAAAGTAGTCATAACACCCCTCAGAGCTGCAGTTGAGTATTGTCTTGAAAGTAAAACTTACTAAGACCAGAGACTGCTTAGTATTTGGTTTTGTGGTGAAGCTCAGCTGACATTTAGGTGATAATATTTCTAAGTTGTTCTGGCTTGGAAGTTATTTGGGCAGATTGTGTATTTTTCGCTAAACTCTGTTTCTTTTTGTTTCTAGCACCTCAACAGCAGGTTATTGTGCCAGATTCCAAGCTGATACCACATATGAATGCATCAGGCATGGTAAGAGAAGAAGTTTATACAGGCTTATACTGTCATTATGTAAATTGTTTTGATTAAACAGTAAATACAAATTTCTATTAGTCATCAGATGCTTAAAAGTAATTTAGGGCTCACTGGCAAACCCGTCTGCCACATTTCTGAGTTCTGCTGCTGCACTTACAGTCTAGGAGCAGAGATGTATGACTTCTGACAAATCTAGGGCTTACTTTGATCCTCTGCTTAAATATATTTAACCAAAGCTTTTTTAAAATCAGAAATTGGAATACTGCTGGTATGAATCTCCATGATGATATGCTTATATACCAATACACCACCAGTAACTGGTGCAAACATAATGTATTTTCTAGATGCAGAAAAAAGCATTAATATGCTGAAACATCAGTTTATGTTAAATGAGAGATGATTTAGCATTTCACATAGATCTTTGCTGGTCACATTAATTCCATTCACTAATTATGTAACTGCATATAGAACTGACTCTGATCATGTATAGTTGTCTGACCCTCTGTATCTCTAGAGGTTAATATTGCTTATCTTATCTTGCTTTAAAGGCCCTGGCTTAATTTAAAGAGAAATAAGTTGTTTGCAAAGCTTTGAAGATAACCCCTAGTATAAGTTTAATTATGTGTATTATGACCAGAATTCATTACATTCTTACCACTTCTATGGTAGAAGCCCATGAAGCAAAGTTTCATGATGCAGCAAGTTTTGAAGCGGAACAGCCTTCTCTTACTTTCCTGTTTGCTGCTGATCTTGCTACAGAAAAGAGCCTGAACTTTGTTACTTGAATAGTATGATTTACCTACAAGCCAAGAGCACATAAACATTCACCTTTTTCTTACATTTGATAACCATTTCAGAGGGATTTGTAACTTTACAAATCCAACAATTAAATGTGTTTTTGTCCTGTGTCATTTATCTCAGGGTATAGAAAAAATGACAATGCCAAGCTTTTTAAACTCTACTGCTGTCAAAATGTTGATGCTTTGTCTACCACAGAGAACTACTGTTCAGCAAAGAGTTACAATCAGTTTGGAAATACTGTTTATTAGAAGCATTTGTGTTGATATGAAAGAGTGGATCTGACAGACTTTGAGTATTTTGGAAGGCAGAGAGGAATGAGAATTCATTCATCTGTGTTTGTCTGGGACGTGAGGATGCATAGAGCATATTTTAGTTTTGTGTGGTGATCTCTAATCTTGGGAGATGTAGCTGTTCTATTGACAGTATGGGGAGATCCTGTTTCTTCTAAACAGGAAATATGCATTCTACCCAGTAATGAAGTTTAAATCCTTTCAGTAACAAAGAATAATTGGCCATGGTTCCCTTACAGTAGGGGAAGGTAGCCTTTTCCATGGCAGCTGAAGTGGGACCCTTGAAATGGAGAGGCTTCTAGAGAAGTCCATCATCCTCTGCAAATTAAGGACTTAATACAGTTTTTTGTGTTTGGAGCTCCCACAATTGTGTTGAAATTCTGTTTCCTTGCAGGTTCAAATCAGTACTCATTGATAGTTCCACTTTATCTTTGAACCAGCTGTCTTGAGAGAAAAAATCAGTCATTCTGTGAACAGTCAGTATGCAGTATGTGCAGGTTCACTCAGAGGAGCTGTGTGATGTGGGACTTGAAGAAGAGTGCAAACCTGGGTTACTGTGCCTTGTGAAAACAAGGCAGGCCAACACAATTGTTGCTTCAGTCAGTACCTTATGTTCCTTCAGATTTGTAGGCCCATAGCCTTAGCTGCTTTGAAAAAATCCAACAGAAGTTGCCACATGAGCAATGCAGTGTTGTGATGTTTTAGTAGATCAGCAGAGAAGGCAGAGGTTTATCTGCTGAGCTTGCAGATAAAGCAAGAAACCAAGTTGTGTTAGGGTGTGATATTTAGTGATTTTGCTTCAGTCTTCTTACTATTAGAGAAGGAAAATAAAATAATTTTTTTATGTAGTGTGATGTACAGTTGAAATGTCTTCATTTCAATAGCTGCAGGAACTTGTGTGCAAACACCGTAAATGGCAATAAGAAGTTCGGTATGTTCAGGCAGCGTGTTGTGGGATGAAACACTGTCGATATTACGTTGGTGGTTAAAACGCCTTTCCTGTGTTTCAGAGTGCTGCAGCCACTGCAGCTACGTTGGCTCTCCCTGCTGGTGTTACTCCAGTTCAGCAGATACTTACAAATTCAGGTAACTGTCTTAATATTGAGAACAAGCTATAGTTTTAAGAGGGAAGCGTTCTGTGCCTTACTTCCTGTTATTTACTGCTAAAAAGCAGGATCTGGCCATCCACCCTAACAAGGTAGTGCAGTCTCTTTACTTGATTCCTGTGCTTTTTGCTCACTGACTTTCTTAGGAATCTTGTGGTCCTGCCCTAATGGTGTTATAGGTTAGAATCTGTCTAGGTTTTTCCCACTTAGAGAAATTCTAGATGCACAGGGATTGATGTTGCTGTCTTTCCCCTTTGTGTATTTCTGTGCTTTGTGATACATGATCCAAGCTCAGGTACTGAGCTACTATGAAGTAGGATCACTGCTTCTGTGACTTCAGAAGGGTAATGTCCTAAGGTTTTTCATGCCTGCTAAGCATGCAAAGTGGAATTTTGCTAGCAATTCTAGCTTTATTTCATATTTATAGTTTCTAAATACTGTTATGCCAAGCATTTAGAATATAATTAAATGTTACTTTGATGAACAGCATATCTGATATTTCACGTTCTTTCATGTTGTGTTGATTTTATGAACCTGATTATATCTCTATACTGCACTGGAAGTAAAGAAAGGCCTGGGAAATTTCATTTTCTAGATCTAGTTGCTGCTTTTGCTGGAGTAATTCACCTATGCTCACCAGGATCACCTGGGACTTTACCCTTCTGTTTTAAGCACTATAATGTTTAATGGTATATAGTTGAAATAAAATTTAAGTGTTCAGCTGTTCTAAAAGTCAAAATCCTCTCAGTCCTAAGGAAGTGCATCTATGTTTGTTATGGCACAGAATAATCTGCAGCCTACATTTGTTACTTTTGTAGTAATAATTCAATTTTGAGCATTTGTAGTAATTTCTTAGACTAGGGCTGGGGAAGTCCCTTCTTTCCGGTACATTTAACTGTTTCGGTAAATAGGACTTTGCATTTTGCTGTGAAGGGAGAGCAGGAGATCCATCTGAGGGAAATGTATAAAGTTCAGGATTATCTAATTTCTTGTCTCTTCTTACTTCACCTTTCTGATAAGAAATGTAAAAAACAAATGATCATATTTAGGTGGCAAACAACCCTATTCTTTGTTTCTGGCACAGCTGGAATTGCATACTGTCTTTTCACTGATGAATTGTTTTAGCATTTCTCTCTTTTAATTGCCATTGGTATTTGTCCAGGAAACGAGCTTCTAAACTAACACAATTTAAAAAGTGAACTTGTACATTTGATTAATTTGATACTTATTTTACTACAGGCCAGATCCTCCAAGTAGTTAGAACTGCAAATGGAGCTCAGTATATTATTCAACCACAACAGCCAGTGGTTCTACAGCAGCAGGTTATACCCCAAATGCAGCCTGGTGGAGTACAAGCACCTGTTATTCAGCAGGTAAAGGAGATTTTTTTTTAATAGGTACACTTGGAAGAAAAAAACCTTATAGTAATTACTAATTACTATATTTTTGTGAACAAGTTGAACTAGAACACAAACTCAGAAACAGTATAATTTAAAAAAAGAGAAGGTTGTGTCAAGTGTATGACACGGATTTTTTGGTTGTTTTTTTGTGGGGCTTTTTTTTTTCTATAAAGAACAATCTTGAAATGTTGTTTTTAATGTCACTTTTATTCTTGCCAGATGTTGATTGGCTGCAGTTTAAAATTCCTTGTGTGCATCCCTGATGAGTTATATTATGCGCATAATCGTTGTCTACATACTTTTAAATTAATTTAAATGATTCTGGGTCACCTCACACACAGAATAAAATACCTAAAACTGACACTCCTTGGTTATTTCAGTAGTAAATACAATGTTTTAGGAAGATTGTTGTTCATTGATAAGGTCAGCTGTGTGTCGAAACTGCGTTAGCACAAAGTCACATTGGCACAGTTGAACAGTTTAAGAATGACTAACAATTTGTGAAGAGTTGAATTTTTTTATAAAGAACATTTCTTAAAATAATCTTTTGCTTGAATTAAAACATTCCAGTGCTGTGTTTGGAACTCAGGTGTGGTGGTAGTCCTCATGTTTTAGAATGGACAGACTTTTAAATTTTTTTCTTAAATTTAGTAATGCAGAATGCAGAAAATTTAACAACAAGTAGTGCAAGAATGTATGGGATAAAAATTGAAACTATGTGCCTGATATAAGTGGAATATTTGTAACTCTTCTGTAATTAGTTCAAGTCAGATTGATATGCTCTAATTGTTTCCTTTGAGTCTGTGATGTGGTGCTCTGTCACGTTAGCAGCCACAGTACTTACAGTGATATTCCATCAGGTTTTGGCTCCTCTCCCTGGAGGGCTTTCCCAGCAGACAGGAGTGATTATTCAGCCTCAGCAGATCCTGTTTACAGGAAATAAAACTCAAGTTATACCTACAACAGTGGCTGCCCCTACACCAGCTCAAGCACAGATTCCTGCAGCTGGTCAGCAGCAGCCACAGCAGCAACAGGCACAACCACAAGCACCACTTGTTCTCCAAGTTGATGGAACAGGGGACACATCATCTGAAGAAGAGGATGATGAGGAAGAAGAGTATGATGATGATGAAGAGGAAGAGAAAGAAAAAGATGGGGGTGAAGATGGCCAAGTTGAAGAGGTAAACGTAGTATTATGGTTTTTTTTGTTGGTATTTTAAAGAAAACTGTCTATATCAAATAATACAATTACTTCAGTAATTTTGAGAATATAACTTATACCCTTACTGAGTTGTGGAAATTGTGTATATTAGCAAAGCAGTGCAGCTGGGGAGGATGTGGGGGACACAGCAAGAATTAGCTGTGACCAACACCATTTAAACACTTCAATAGGAATATTTTTGATGTTATGGAGACGTCAGTCATGAAGTCATATAACCTTCATGAGCAAACAGAAATGGTCAACTCTGCTTGGGACCAAGTGTATAGAAAAGCAGGGTGCTAAGATAGACAAAAAGGAGAGCAGCATTTGGTTCAGTGATGGGACCAACAGATGTGGTCTACTTGTATCTCATTGGCTATTCCATTACTTTTTGTTTCACAGGAGCAAGCTTGAGAACTCAAATTTTATTATAAAGCATCTTCTAGAAACACATCTTACCTGGATTTAATAAAATAAGGAGACAGGAACAGGCATACTTTTCCTAATAGCATGTGCCTAATTTTGTCTTTGAGTTGGGTTGGTTTTGGACTTCAGCCAGTGGCTCTTACCACTTAGATGCTTTACAAAAATAAAAATCTGCATGTTTTTGCATGATCATTTACAGTGAAGGAGCAAGAATGGAATAGTTGTGGTGTTAAAAGGCTGCAGTGCTTAGAATCTGGCCTGGACTTTGAAGTTCCAGACTAAAGTTCATAAGGGTATCTTCTCAGGAGGGAGGGTAGGAGGCATCAGCACTCTGTTGGAAAGTCTAATGTTGCATTTTGGGTCCTGCAGTTCATAGACAACGCTGTCGCCTCATGCTAATAATTGAAGTAGCACCTCTAATCTTGCCAGCCATCACAACTTTTTGCATGTGTTTCTTTCAGGAGCCTCTGAACAGTGAAGATGACGTGAGTGATGAGGAAGGACAAGAACTCTTTGATACAGAAAATGTCGTTGTGTGCCAGTATGATAAGGTAAATCTGTACAGAAAACAATCAAAGAGTTTTACTGTCTCTGTTCTTAGTATCAAATTATAATTTTTAAGTAGTAACTTGGTAACTATTAAGTACAGGTAGATCTATACAGACTATAATGTGAGTGGAAATGTAAGAATTACCTATTGTTTTTAAAACAGGTTTGTGTACCATGTTTGTACTAAACTTGGTAATAGGTAAAGCTTAGAAAAAATTGGCTGCATTTTATTTTTTCTTTGTAGTGTCTTTTTATGCCCTTTAATAAAAGGGCAGTCTTCTGGGACCAGGAGAGGTGAACTGTTAGGTTTGTACATTTATTGTGGCTATAAACAGAAGAAGTAGTCCTCAGGATTTAGACTTGTGGAAAACTGTTCCTTGATCACTAAAAATATCTCTTCTGGATGATGGGATGGTTACCAGAGGAGAATACTCTTTCTGTGCTATGCATTGTGCTATATCAAATGGCAGTGTGGAATGCTTGGGCTTGTTTTGCTTTAAATTCTGCTGAACTGTCTTGCAAGAATTTACAAGTCATTACAGGGGATCCGATTTTCCCTGGATTCATCTGTGCTGGAAACTTTTTAAATGTGTCTTGATGATATCAGAATCTTTTGGCTGAGGTAGTACACAGATTATTTGATGTGGATTTTTTTTTTCCTTTTCCTTCTGCTGTACTTGATTAATTGGGCTACAACAAATAGGGATCCTTTTTAAAGCAGGGGTTAAAAAACCTGTAAGCTCTTGTGCTGCAAAGAATGACTGGGTTAGCAAGTCTTCAGTTATGCCAAGACTCTGCTTAGACTTGCCATCAGATTCAACACAGAATTTAAGACCTACATCCCAGCCATCTGTCTTCTCTGGACTGTAATCCAAAACTGTTGTGAGGCAATTTGTAAGGAATAATGAGGGACCTCAGAACAGCAGGTAGAAAAGCTTATTGGGAGCTGCTGAAAGTGAGCAACAGGAACTACTCTGAAATCCTCACCCTCTTAGAAGTTAGGAATGGGAACTTGGTAGGGAGCAGTGTCCCTTGTTAGCTTCCAGTGTCACATACTCTGAAAGGACTTCATCTCTTTTCAAGAAATCACTATTCAGTTTGTCTCTAAAATGTATAGGATCAGCTTAGATCTGAGCAGTTCCCTCCTGCCCTGTGCCCTGCATCAGCTGATGGTGGGTGCTTCTGGAACTATGAGACAAGAACAGACATGTAGCCATGCTCATGTAGAGCTTTTTACAAACATCCCTCTGTGAACTGTCTCTTGAGGAAGAGAAAGTGCCTTCTTTTCAAATGGCCAACAGAGAATTTTTTCCTCTACTTGTTAGAAACCAATTTGATTATTTTTGAACCCTTGAAAATTTTGCCTTGCAACAAGAAGTTTTAGAAATGTATTGTGTGGAGGATCATCTCGTTTTTAAACTCACTAGTTTGATATGATACGTTCTAGTTCTAAGGAGTCTTTTTTGCTTTCTTGGTGCTCTTTATGGTACTGCAGATGATCATAACCCTCCTCAGTCATGTCTTTTGAAATCAGAGCTGCACTTTATTTGTACCTGATTCAAATGTTTGATTGCTGTTCAAATATTTGATTGCTCTTACTTTCATTCTGCAGATCTGTTTGATTTTTCTGTATCTTACTTGTAAGGGTAGATAAGGTTTGGGGAGGAGCACAGGTAACACTTCCATTTATTTTCTGGTGTGGCAATGTTCTGCATTAGTTTGTCTATGTTTTTGGCCCCACTGGACACAGAGCTGATATTCTCATGAGAAAGTCTTAGAGCATTGGAATCTAATTCTTGACTTGCAATTGTTAGTTCAAACCCACGACTTTTATTGTCTGTGTAAATTGAAATTGATTTTTTCCCCATTGTTACTGTCTTCATGTGCCTTGAATGCCACCATTGTTTTCTTATACAATGAGTTAGGGCAGTGACATTGTTATGCAGCTCTTCAGTAACTGGCTGTATCATCAGTACATTTTGTCATTTTTCAGATCCTTAGTAAGCTCTTAAACTGTGTGGACTCCAACCAGCACAAACCTTAGCTGAATGAACTCTACTTTGCTGTAGAGACTGTGATCTTACCTGTGTTTTCTCATCTTTATTCAGTTATTCATCTGAGGACCTCCCTTCTAACCTCATGGCAGCTCAAATGCTTCTGAGGAGGAATTTTTGTGGAATGCCATTCAGTAGGGCAAGTAGTGTATATAGGCCAGACTTTCCTTGTTCATTTACTTGCTGACTAACTTTTGCCACTGACTGTCTCTTTTTCAGCTTAAAGTGAGAACAGATCAAGCAGTACTAGAAATAATGAGTAGAGTGATATGGTCATAGCTGTTTGGTGCCACGTTGCTGTTTCTACAGCACTAATGGTACATGGTGAGACTTCCCATGCTTGATAAAACTGGAAAAACTGTAGCAGGGTTACCTGTTTTTATGGCTTACATAAAATTTTAACTTCTTCTAGAACCATCTTTGGTCTAGAATTGCATCTTTGTTCTGTCTGCAGAAGTTTATGATAACCTTTCCTTTTGGACAGTATTTCAGCTTTCTGAAAAGTCTTTGCTTTCTTTGAGTATCTGGTCATCTGGTGTCTTTCGGTCTTTCAGATGCAGTTTTTGATAGATAGCAAATATTTGCTCTGTGCTTAAAGTATGTGGTGGGGGGGTTTGGTTTTTTTTTTATATTTTGCCAAATTTAACCTTTAGGCTGAATTTTGTTCAGTTTTCTTCAGTTTTAAATTAAACATGTAGGCTGGACATCAGGAGGAATGTCTTCACAGAAAGGGTTGTTTAAACATTGGAATGGGTTGCCCAGGGAGGTGGTGGAGTCATTGCCCCTGGGGGAGTTTAAGGAAAGACTGGATGTGACACTCAGTATTTTTAATAATTCAGTAATGTATGTCTAATAGTTATTTTTATTTTTCTTACCCTTATAATTTACTTATGCATTATTACCTATTTCTGATGCAGAGTAATAGGTTAATGTTTTTGCCTTGTTCTTAGATTCACAGAAGTAAAAACAAATGGAAATTTCATCTCAAAGATGGCATCATGAATCTTAATGGAAGAGATTATGTATTTTCCAAAGCCATTGGGGACGCAGAATGGTGAAGTTTTAAAAGACAAAACAAAAGAACTCCCTGTAAAAGGAAAAAAACAAAACAAAAGCAGGAAAAGTTGAGACTTGGATATATACTCCAATCAAAATGTGTATCTGCACATCAGAAATAAACAAAAGTATTGGAACAAAGGTAAAATGTGGCAACAAAGACACTACTTCAGATGAGCAAGCCATGGACTGTAGCAGCTATAGCATTGTCTGGGAGCTGGTTTTGTGTGTTTAGGAATACCTTAATTATCAATTCTACATACAGGTACCTACAGCTGGTATTTAGCATGTAAGGCTTTGTCCCCCCTGCCCTTGATTTAAGATTTTAAAATACTTCTTCCACTGATTGAAGGAACTATTCCCTTTAATAGATTATTAATCTGAAAATGCTTATTGTGTGTACAAATCTTTGCTTTGAACACTTCCTTTTGGTAGTGAGGATGGTCAGAATCTTACTTAAACTGCGTGCAAGCTTTGTACAGAAGGGTAAGAATTAAGGTGTTAAATTTTAAATAACTTGTATAAGGAAAATATTTTTAATTCTGATATGCTCTTTAATTATTATATCTATTTGTTGTTTTCAATGCCATTCCCCATAAACAGGTTGTTGTTCTTAGCAGTTACAAAATGGTAAAATGATTTATGTTTCAAAATTACTTTAATTTCATGTGTTAAGTTTTATCTAGGGCTGCATTTTTCAAATTTGAAGCACCTCATCCCCCACAAAAGTCTGATTGTTTAACTTGTTAATTATATTCTTGCTGTTTTGTGGTGGTTCAGCATCACTGAATTAAAAAAGTTTCCCTTGATTTTTTAACAAAAACATTTTTTAAATGGTTTGGAGACCTTTTGAATCCAATATCTAGGTAATGCCATAATAGATGCATTCCTTTACCTGCTTACTATGTTTGTAGTCCAGACACCCACACATAATTCAACAGACCCACAGGAAAGACTAAATTTTTAATACAGAAAATCACATAAAAATTCTAACATCATGGCTGCAACTCTTAATCAAAGATCTGCTTTACTAAAAAGTACAGCCAGAAATTACCTGCAGCAGTTAATCTCTCTAAAGTTTCCAGATGGCATATAATTTCATGAAGAGAGCTGCACAGCTTTTAAGAACACAAATTTTGTTAGAGTATCTTTAGACTGTCTTGGTTACAGCAAATTGAGCAGTCAGATGCACTAAACCTTGTGTAGTCACTTTTTCACTTGCCTTTTTTATTGTTTGTTTGTTTGGGGTTTTTTTGTGTTCAGTTTGTGAAAAGCAACAAAGTTATTCCCCCCTCCTTCCCTCTCTCTTCTCAGAAGTTGAAGAGCTTTTCTTCCTGCATAGGGCCATGGTTGCAAACCGTGCTTTTGGAAATGCAGTTACTTCTGAATGAGGAGAGGGAATGGGCATTATACTTCAGAAACTGTTGAGGAAGGAATGTTCATGTGGCTCACCATTTCAAAAAAATTTTGCATTTTGTTTGGTGCTTGAAAAGTTGATGAAAAAAGGACACAACAAAGATAATTTTTACTGAATTAGCTAAGACCATGAGAAGCAGACATGATTTCTGACTTTATTTTTGGCTTGAGAATGAGATATTGTAAACATTATTTAACGAAGTCACAAGTGTATTTCAGCAGGATGAAACAACTGCTTTAATTTTTATTCTCTGATTCATTTGCCTCCAAGTGCATTTGTAGTCTCAGTAGTATGTAGAAAAATCACAACAAATTGTAAAGAAGATTTTATTGCTGTGATTTTGTACACCTGCTCTCTCATTGATAATGACTGAAACTGCCTGTGGGCTCTGTCTACAGCCATATGGTTGTTTGAAAGCCATCTACATTCATAAGCTTTATGAAAAGTTAATTGAGTATTCTTCTAATTGATTCTTAAGTAATGGAATCATCATTTAGACTGCATTTTTACTTGGGGGCTTTCAAGGTATCTCAAACTGATTGATGTTTGCTTTCTTCTGAACAACGCAGATATTTTATTTTTTTACCGCTGTTGACACTTCTATGTACAACTGCAAGGAAATCAATAATATACCAACTAATTCCTTTCCTCACCTTTTCCATGTCTGTTACCAATAAGTCTTAAGTAGTAGACTTCAGAAAAATTCCCATAATGCTGCACAACCAAACCAATAAAAGGATAAAAACATCCCTTTAGCTATAGATTCCTTTTTATACTATTGGAAGCCAGTTTACTTATGCAACACTTTGTTTTCATACAACTTAGTGATATTTCTCACCCACGTACATATACTAGAAGCTGCATAGCCTCTCTATTTTAAAGGGTAGCTGAACTTTAAAAGTAATTAAGCTTAGACTGTTCTGAAGGATGTTAGAAGCTTTCTGAACTTGCACAGCCTCTTGCAAGCTAATTGTATGGTATGCTTTTCAGATAGGTTTTGTCTTCAAATACAAATATCTGTGAAGTTTTGGGAAAGCCAGTCAAACCATGCACATACCAAACTGTGCTCTTATTGCTACATCAAGTGTTCCTTTTTTTAAGTCAAAAAGCATGTTTTAATTTCATTTTATTGTAGCAGCTTGCTGTAAGAATGTAGTTTGCTTAATTTTATTATTATACTTGAATTTTTAATCATGGTTTTAATTATATAACTGAACAGACCATTTCATTAGGTTCAAAAGAAACCATTCCTTTCAGAGGGCAAGGGATTCCCATGTTCATAAGTGATTTTTCCCCCTTAGAAATAGCGCTTTTTTTTCCCAATTTAAATAGTTCAGTATTATGGAAACAATTAATGGTTTCAAGAGGGCTTATGTTAAAATTTGCACAGAAAATGGAGCACCTTTTTTATGATGGAAAAAAAATGGGGAAGATAACTTCAGAATTATAACCATGATGGCTGATGGAAACTGGTAGAGCAACTGGGCAAAATTGAGTCTTGTGCCTTTTCAGTTTGCAGAATACTTGTTTTGCCAGTATGACAATGATTCCTGAGAGAGTAAATTTCCTGCAGTGCTTCAATCAGAAAAGCAACTTTTTTGCGCTAATTCTGTTAGGTTTTAGTGTGTGCAATCATTTAAAACCATCTAAGTGGAAAACAAAATGAAATGTTTTCTTTTAAGGAGATAATAGAGAATTTAGTCACATAAGGAACTTTATTGGACTATTTAAATAAAATATGTTTTTATTCCCCCTCAGTTGCTGGTTAGCAACAAGATTTCTTTGAGATTTCATACTCCTTGTTCCTGCATTGTACTCACAACTTGCTTTTCAACATCATTCAGTTTCCTCAACACTATTTAAGGTGACAGTTGTGGTCCGAGTTTATTTCCAGGATTGATATGTGATTCTGAAGCACATTTTCTAGAAGAGAGCAAAAAACATGTTGTGTCATGTAACTGATTTTTTTAAAATAAATATTTTCTTATCTTTTTGCTGCACAATTAGGAGTGTTAAAGTAAACTTCATTGAGTCTGTGAAAATAATTTCACCTCTTGACAGTTAGTAGTAATTATGTTACCAGATAACACTACCAGAGTAAAATTTCTTAATTTCAGTGAAGGAGTTAAGAGACCTTGTTAACTGAAGTTTATATTGATTTAATCTCTTCAATTTGTAAAAGCTCCTTTCAAAACAATAAATCCCCCCAGAATTTCCCCCAAAGTAAAAGCTTCCTGATAGAATGCAATAAGATGTCCAGGAAATGAACAGTGGTTTTAGGGCATCGCACACTGGATTGATACTGGGCTGCCTTACACAGCACCATGGGATGTACTGTGTGCCATCCCACACCACCCATGCACCCCTATCTGATACTATAGAGTTCTTCTGAGACTTGGAGATGAGTGACTATACAAGATGAAGAAACTTGCATATTGTTCTGTATTGGTGTCTGGCATTTAAAGTCTCGTTTTCCCATTGCTGTGATTGGTTGGGAAATGTGTAAAAACCAGTACATTGATTTCCATGTTGTCTACTTTTTTCAGGCAGTTCACGCAGTGTGTTTTTTAATTATTATTTGGTGGATTAGATGTTGTGGAACAAAAGGAGCTTTTTGAAACAGGAAAAACTACCTTGGGTTAGCTATATGTACAGTCATCCAATGAGACATGTTCCAGAGTGCATAGGGTACCAATAGATTATGGAGTGGGGGACTATCCTTTTTTGCTGTTCTGAGCTACTATTGTCAACTGCTGTTGTACATATACTGTTATGTGTAAGGGGGTAAATATATTTATTATGTTTGTAAAATTCATTCTGTACAATTGCAGATCAAGGTTGCTCCTCTGTGATATACAGGATATTATGTTTCAAAGGCCATGCTTGGAATACGATTAGAGAACTTAGTATTTTGATGTACTAAGACCTATTTTAAGTTTAATATTTTGCCTTTGCAAAAACTTTAATTAAAGATGTTATTTAAAAATGTTTGCCACTTCATTTACTATCTTGCATGTGCATTTGTTTCATATATGAGGCTTATTACTAACCCATAATAACGTTGAAGATTCTGCATTGGTTTTTATCACATAGAGATAATTTCACTTGTTCGGTTTGCCGTGCAGATTTTCTGTTTCATACCATCACAATGTTATAAAAAAATTCACAGCTTAATCATGGGGCCAGACTTGCATATTTTTTTAAGGGTTTCGCCCTGTGGTAACCTAAGGTTTAGGTGTTGAGATAAGATTGGTTAAACAACTTGGTATTAAGGCCAGTGGTATCCTGAGGTGCCTTGGAACAATGGCCTGTGGGTTGAGGGAGGTGATCCTCCCCCTCTGCTCAGCCCTGGTGAGGCCACGCTGGAGTGCCATGTCCAGTTGTGGGCTCCCCAGTACAAGAAGGACAAAGAGCTACTGGAGAAGGTCCAGCAAAGGGCCACAAAGATGGCCAAGGGCTTGGTCTGTCTCTTAGGCGAGACTGAGAGCTGGGCACATTTAGTCTGGAGAAGACTCAGAGGAGATGTCATTCCTGCATATTGTAAATACCATATAAATGGGTGTCAAGATGGTGCCAGACTCTTTTCTGTGATGCCCAGCGACAGGAAAAGGAGCAATGGGCCAAATCAAGAAATTCCACCTCAATGTGAGGAAGAACTTCTTTACAATGGGGGTGGCAGAGCACTGGCACAGGCTGCCCAGGGACGTTGTGGAGTCTCCCTGTCTGGAGACATTGAAAACCCACCTGGATTAGTTCCTGTGTCACCTGCTCCAGGTGACACTGCCTGCCAGGGGGGTTGGACTGGATGCTTTCCAGAGGTACCTTCCAACCCTGTTGATTCTATGATTCTGTGTGACATCTTGATGTTCGTTCTGTATGTGGAAATGCGAGAAGTAAAATGCAGAGTTCTTGGATGATAAGTGGCCAATGAATAAGGTTTTGTTTTCATCAGTTAATCTAATCTGACAGAATTGCTTTCAAGCAAGTGACATCCTTTAAGTTCCTATCTAAAAGCAGTGTCTTGAGACATGACTTGTGATTTATTTTTAAATCTATATTTTGAACGTGAAACTCTAAAATAATTAGGAAGAAAATAAATGTAGGTTATATTGCCTGTATGGGGGGTGTATTTTGGAATGTGATGATTTTGAAGTAATTTTTTATCTACAGTGCTGTCAAGATATAGCAAACCAAGCGTCATGAGGAGTGGTGGTGTTTTGTTTTTTCCCTAGTATTCAAGGATGAACCCCCCTCCTCTGCCCCCCCCAATACTCCTCTTTACTCTCCAGCCCTCAGCACTTAAGGAAATCTTAAAAAAATGCAATACTGCTTTTTCTATAAAATGTGCCTTACTTGAAATGGAGTTGGAGTTGATTCTGGATAAATAACTACTTATTATTTAAAAATCCAGTGTTTTTCCAAAAGAGATCATTGGTGTTGTAAGAAACAAACAGGTCAGAAAAATGGCCTGTTGTTTTGGACAAAAGATTTTCAAAAGTACTCTGATAAAAGAGGAGAAAAAGCAGAATGTTGACAAATTAGTAGCAAATTTAAGTTAAAAAACCAAAAAAGCTAGATTTCATTCCTGTGAGAAAATGAGAGTATTACAATTGAATGTTAATTGTGTTCTCTCAGCTGTGGCTGAGCAAAGTATTTCAGCAATTTTTTAATTTTTGCACAATCAAGTATATTTAAAAATGCATTATTTTTTTATCTGATTTTTATATGGCTTAGTTACTGTCATTGCAGAGGTAGAAGAGGATAAGAATCTTGGGATATTAGCATAGCTTTCAGTATATCCCCATTTATTGTCAACTCTACACTATTCTGTACAACTTGTCGTAAGCTGCATCAGCTTTTGAGTGTGTATTGTTTTATTAATGCAGACTCCTGTTTGTAAAATACTCTCTTAAAGACTTGCCCCTTGTTTTCAGAGCAGATTTCAGCACTGTACCACTAATGGGATTATGCCAAAATCTAATCCTTTCAGAGGTAAGGACATCTGTAACACTCTCAGATGAACTGCAGTTGAACCACGTTTGACCTTCAGTGTGGATATATAACATTTAGGAAATTTGGTTTAGGACAATGTTTTTCTTTAGAGTGAAGACTTTCCCAGTTATTTTTGTGCAAAGTGGCTATGTAATTACATTTTTTTACACAGTATAAAATGTGTATGTCCTTGTGTGACCTGAAAGAGGGTTATCTGAAATAGATAATATGGAGAGAGAATAAATGCAAATAGTGCTTTACGATACAAATGATTCTGAATTGCCCATTCACTTCCATAGGTCAAAACTGCACTCTGAAGATGGGTATTCATGAACTGCTATTTTAATATGTTTTTTAATGATAACTGTTTAAAAATATTTCCAGTTTTTGTTTTACTTTTTAATTCAGTTTGGTGAATAAAAATTTACTGAAATTGAAAGCATGGTGTTTAATTTGGGTAAGTATATTTCAGTAGCAAATTCAAAACAAGGACTATCATTATATTGCAAAAATAATAAAAAAATCTCATAACAGCAAAAAATATTATGTATGGATGTGATTCTGTCAAGGTAGAAATGTTTTTCCTTTGCTAGAGGAACCATGAAGGAGAACAGTGTTGTGGAAAAATCCCTCTAAATGTCTGGAACATAAGGCAGTTGGAATCCCAAGAGAGTCTGGATGTTGGTTTACGAGTACTGGAGCTGCTGGATTTAATGTCACGGTAAAGAACAGCCTTCCTTGCTTGTGATGGGGAAA